AACTCCCTGTTATCCCAGTCTGGCTAAAACTTCCGGGTTTAAAAGTTCATCTGTACAATCATGAAATTTTGTTTTCTATAGCTGCTATGTATGGAAAGTCTTTAATGCTGGATGCTCCTACCTTTTATCTAACTAGGCCATTAATGGCTAGAATACTAATTGAAATGGATGTTACCTTTTGTGTTGTTTCTCTCTGATTCTGAGAACTTCATTCTTGCCTCTGCTTGTCGTTTTCATCTGGTTGGTAAATTTCTCTATGGGCTTCCAAAATATGATTTTTTGATGAAGAATTTTGAACTTTTGAAGTTATCGGGGGGTTGGAAGATCGGTGCACTGGATAGTAGACATATTCTTATCCAACTTTCTAATGAAGATGATTATGCTAAACTGTTTGCACGTAGAACTGTACATTTTGGGGATGTGTGGATGAAGGTCCTTAAATGGACTACGGAGTTCAATCTGAAAACCGAACTCCCTGTTATCCCAGTCTGGCTAAAACTTCCGGGTTTAAAAGTTCATCTGTACAATCATGAAATTTTGTTTTCTATAGCTGCTATGTATGGAAAGTCTTTAATGCTGGATGCTCCTACCTTTTATCTAACTAGGCCATTAATGGCTAGAATACTAATTGAAATGGATGTTACTCTTCCTCCTCCGGAGGAAGTTTGGATAGGTTCTAGTCACACTGGTTATTGGCAACAGGTCTTGCTTGAAAAGCATTCTCATTATTGTTTGCATTGTTGCATGTTTGGTCATGATTCCAATCACTATTTTCATTTGCATCCTGAATTAAGACATCCCCCAGCTGGCCGTAAAGCCTATGCTGGACCGAAATCTACTCCTGGAATTAATTTATTTGAATCTACTACTCATTTGGCTGAAGCCTGCGTGGGGCCTGGTGAACTAGTTGCTCTAGGTTTGGCGGCAATTAGCAATGCTCCCCCTGTGGTTGTAGTAGTAGTGGGTGCAGTTTTGACTCCCGAAAGAAATGTTGAAAATGTGGAACCTATCATTTCATCTGTTCCAGAATCTGAGCCACAACCTCAGATATCTTCTGATGAACATATTGGGGTGTTTGGTCCCCCACATGAAATCTCTCATCCTTCCACTTCTATGCCTACTTCTCCAACCAGGACCCTTCCTCTTTGGCTTCCTTGGCTTTTAAATCTGAATGGCAGATTCAAAAATATTGCAGGAAAAGAGGACGAAGGAAATTTGAACTTCGAAATATGACACAATCAAATAATTTGGATGTCACTTATCATTCGGAGGGCGAGCGCTTGCACCTTCCCCCTAGGATGACTAGGAGGGGAGGTGTCATGAGCCAACATGTTTAATATTTTAGTGTGGAACATTAGAGGAGTGACGGACCCTCACTCCTTTAATCATTCAAAGCATTTATGTAGGGTCCATAAAACTGACATTTTTGTTCTTTTGGAACCTCTTGTTTCAATTCATAAAGAGGAAATCATTAGGAAATTCAAGGGATACATGCATTTCAGTAATGTGAATAACAAAATTTGGTTTTTTTGGCAGAAAGACATCATTCTGAATATTATTGATGAAAATGTGCAGTATATTCTTATTCATAATCAGTTGGAGAATTATTTCGGTTGGACTACTTTCATATATGCTAGCTCACTTTTAAGAGATAAGCTTCTTCTTTGGCAACAACTCACGCATATGGGTGCAACTATTACTGAAAATTGGTTCATTGGTGGAGATTTAAATATGATTATGTCGCCTTCTGAGAGATGGGGTGGTGCTAAAGTTGATACGAGTCTTATTAATCGTTTTTGTGATCATATTGAGGATGCTGGCTTTTATGATTTAGGCTTTTCGGGTCCTCATTTTACTTGGCGGCGGGGTTTTCTTATGCAAAGATTGGACAGATTTTTGGGGAACTCAGCTTTTATGAGTTACTATAACATTATTCATGTCAAGCATCTTAATCATGCTGCTTCGGACTATAATCCTATTTTGCTTAGTTTGGTTTTTCACTCCAAACCTGCTCGTTATCATTTTAAATTTCTTAATGTTTGGACCACTCATCCTACATTTATTGATTTGATTAAGCAGACATGGGTCTCCAAGTAGAGTGGAAATCCTTGGTTCATTTTATGGCAATTACACAAGAATGTTGTTTATCATTTAAAAAGATGGAACATAGATGTTTTTGGCAATGTTCATTCTAGGATGTTGAAAGCCCAACAAGAGGTTGACACTTTAGAAGCTCATATGGTTGTCACTCCTGATCTTGTGGCTAAATTAACGGATGATCACCATACACTTTTGGAGGAAATCTCGATTGAAGATGATTTCCTAAGACAAAAAACTTGTGACAATCATTTCAAAGATGGTGACAGAAACACCTCATATTCTCATGCTACCATTAAACATCGTCATAGCATTAATACCATTATTAAGATTGTTACTGCTGAGGGCTCTGTTCTCACTGATACTGAGCAAATTGGTTATAATGCTGTTGATTATTTTTTTTCTTTATACGCTGATACTCACCCTGTTACAGATATTCTTTCCAGTATGTTTCAGGATCAAAGGGACAGTTTCCTCCCTCTCTCTGTCCGATCCTCCTACTGAGGTGGAGATTTCTACTGCCCTCAAAGATATTAGTTCTCAAAAAGCTCTTGGTCCTGACGGTTTCACTTCCACTTTCTATATCATTTGCTGGGACATATTATTAAGAAAGAGGTGGTCCTTTCTATTCGAAGTTTTTTTCAAGGAGATGACCCTGGAAAGTATTTCTCAGCGGCTATGATTGTTCTTATTCCTAAAAATAATGATAAATCCCATTGGAAGGACTTTAGGCCCATCTCTCTCACCTCTTTGATCACTAAAATTATCAGTAAAATTATTGTGGCTCGTCTCCAACCTCACCTACCTTCCCTTGTATCCCCTCATCAGTCGGCTTTTATTAAAGACCGTGATATTTCTGATAATATTCTCTTGGCCCAGAAAATTTTGCAGGATCTTGACAAAAAATGCAGGATTGGGAATCTTGTTATCAAACTTGACATCAAGAAAGCCTTTGATACCATCAATTGAGACTTCATTCTTAATGTTCTGAAAGCTCGAGGTTTTAACACAAGCTTTTGCAATTTGATCAAAAGATGGTTGGCTAACAACTTCTATTAGGTGTTGGTCAACGGAAACTCCTATGTTTTTTTTACAGAGTGTCGTGGCATTAAGCAGGGAGATCCACTTTCCCCTATTATTTTCATTTTATCTTTTGATTATTTTTCCAGGATGCTCAATCATTCCCAGTTTTCACATCCTCACACGCAGTTCTCACACAAAGCCAGAATGATGGTTTCTCACCTTGCTTACGCAGATGACGTCATTATTTTTGCTAATGCTTCTAAACTTTCTATAAAAAATGTGATGGGGCTGCTACAGGATTTTCAGAATTGTTCTGGGCTACGCTTTAACTGTGACAAGTGTCAGATGTTTTTTGGTAAGCAAGTGAAACATCATATTATTCACTGGGGAGTTGCTTACACTGGTTTTCATCACGCCTCTCTACCTCTTAAATATCTCGGGGTAAATTTGATATGGGGAAGGAGGAAACAAATATAAATGAATGATGTTATTGATAAAATCAAACGAAAAATTTACGATTGGAGGAATGTTTTTCTTTCTACTGGGGGCAAGATCTCTTTACTTACTAGTGTGCTACAGATTATCCCATTATATGCTTTGTAAGTGTTTAACCTCAAAAAAAGTGCTATCAATGTGATGGAGAGGCTTTTCAATAAATTCCTTTGGGTTGGAAATGGAACAAAAAAAATTTGGGGTTCTTGGCATAAAGTTTGCAAACCTAAAAAGGCTGGTGGGTTCGGTTTTAAAGCCTTAAAGCATACTGTGGAAGTTAATCTTTGCAAAGTTTGATTTAAATTCAGATTGGGCTCATCTCTGTGGGCTATTTTTTTACATCAAAAATATTGTTCTCATACTCATCCATCCCTGGTTTCGTGGAAGGTTGGCGATTCTCGTATATGAAAAACTGTTGTTAACGCTAGAATCACTGCTAATAACTTCATGTTTTGGGATATAGGCGATGGTACTATTTCTTTCTGGAATGACAATTGGGAGTTGTCCCATCTCTCAGACTACTCCCACCCCCAGCACAATAATTCCCTTTTAGTCTCTGATTTCTTTACTAATGATGGTTGGGATTTCCCCA